AGGGGGGAAGCGGCGGCGTTCCCGGCGTCGGCACGGTGAGCATGTCGGCTCTTGGGACTAGCAAGGACGTAGCCAAAAGCCATGAATGATATAAATACTGTTAAACCCAATGCTTGGACACCCGGCGTCAGGCGTGCCTTGGTTGTTGGAATTGGACTTCAAGTTCTTCAGCAGGTGATTACTTTAACGTCAACTTACAGATCTTCTGATCTATACATATCTTTACTTTTTACGTCAGTTTCTTTTCGAACTTCATGAGAATTCTACGGGCAAATACTCTAGAGGAATGTTACTTTTATGTCTCAGGACTATGACAAGAATATGTTCATGATAGTCACTGTCCAAGCAGTCAAACAACCAAAAATCAATACTTCAACAAATTTTAATCCCTTAGATCTAAATGTCCATCTTGATAAACTAGCAGGTAAATAAGCTAGGGATTTTTCGTGATTGTGGTTGTTATAAGGATGATTGAATTAATGCGCGCGCGCGCGCACACATATTTTGCAGGCCGCTGGCATAAATGGGTTTCTGTACTATGGACCTCAAGTTCTTGAGAAGGCAGGAATAGGCGCTCTTCTCGCCAATTTGGGCTTTTCTGCAACATCTGCCTCGTTACTTGTTAATGTCGTCATCACATTCTGCATGCTTCCTTGTATAGGTATTTCCATGAAGCTCATGGACATTGCGGGCAGAAGGTACATATGTCTAAATATCTCTTTTAATATATATCTTTTAATATATAAAACTCGTTGTTTATCTACTGAACTAACATTTCGTCATAAAATAAGAACAAAGTACTCTTAAACTTTTGACTACTGAATGAAGGGAAGAAACATGACTGTAGATAGCCTGGTAACCTTTTGGCTTCTCAAGATTTAACTATAACGCTTCATCCACAAACCATTACAAATAGGTAAAATATATTAGTTAAAATTAAAATCTGAAGACAATATTTGTCGCTTGATACGAATCCTTTGTTTGTCATCTTGATTTTTCCTCACACAGCTTGCACTTGTAGGTGACGTTCACTTTATGCAATTTAGAGGATGAAAAGTTTTGTTTTAATATTTGGGGATTGAAGTGATGGTTAAACTTTCATCTTCGGCCGGAAACCATATAGTGTGGTTCTGTTTAAACGAGATTAACATTAAAAGTCATGTAACTTTCTATCTTTCTTTGAATGCATATCATAGATGAATGTCGAAGTCTAGCTAGAAGACTCGAATCCTTGGGGTAGGTTATATATATGGACCAACTTTATTGTAGGTTTCAATTCAAAAGTTTATTCTTTTTCATTGACAGCCACTCGTGTGTGTGTCTATGTGTATAAATATAGTGTCTCATGAATTACACGAATTGCAGGTCAATAATGCTGTACACAGTGCCCATTCTGATAGTGTGTCTGGTGGTCCTCGTGGTACGTGACTACATGCGCCTAAGTTCTGTGGTGAACGCAGCGATAACTGCTCTGAGTGTAATAGTGTACGAGAGCGTATTCTGCATGGGATTTGGAGTGATTCCCAACATCATGTGTGCAGAAATCTTCCCTACCAGTGTTCGAGGAATCTGCATTTCTATATGTTGTGTTTCGTTCTGGATCTCAACCTTGATCCTCACTTCTGTTTTCCCTTCGTTGCTTCAATTGGTTGGTCTTTCTGGTGTGTTTGGAATGTTTGTTGTTGGGTGCATCGTGTCTTGGCTCTTTGTTTACTTCAAAGTCCCTGAAACTAAAGGCATGCCTCTGGAAGTCATCACTGAGTTCTTCGCCATTGGTGCTAGCCCTAGTTCTGATATTTCTACTTTTGCTGGAACCGGAAACTGAACTCGTCCAGTTCATCGTGTGAGTGTGTCGTTTGATTGAGAAGAGTGATGTACGTAATCTTCTTTTCTTTCCGTAACTGTACAAGGCACAATTGATCTATGTATACATATATGACTCGACATCTGATGATGAAGTTTTTTGGAACATTGGTATGGCTTTAATTTGTTTTGATTCTATCGTGTCAGACTATGAGTTGCTTTTTATATGATACTGCTGTGTCATAAGGATCTAACAATAGGGCATGATTTTTATAAATTAATAAAGCTTGTTAAAATTATTCGTAATAAAAATTATTAGTTAGAACATCAGTTTATTTAGTAAGTTAAGAAGTTTTATAATTTTAGGCATACTAAGTAAAAAAAATTAATATTTTAAATAAAATATGTTATATTATGAAATATGTTAAGAATTTTTACAATAAGAATTAGAGAAGGAACTCCTACACTAAGGGGAAAAAATATGTGCCAAATCACCCCACTCAGTTTTGGCCAAAAAATCACCGAAGTAAGTTGAATATGAAGACTGAAGAACAAGTTGCAAGCATCAAGAAAATATATTTAAAACGTAATTCCAACCCTCACTTAGGCTTCTTGGTTTTTGTTTTTTTTTTTTCCGGGTAAACAAGAGGGCAAAAGCCTAAAAGACTAAAAACAAACTGATGAGACTAGATCCCAAACATTCAGTATCAAATAAGGTCCTCAAATAACCAAGGTTTAAATTCTTATTGAGAGAAGTGCCCACATTTAGTACCTGACAGTGTCTAGAATAGGATTGTCAACAAAAAAAGCAATGTCCTCAAATGTGGAGGACAAGAATCGAAAAGAGAAGAGTTTCATAAAACTCCTTTGGGCAACGAATCTGCAAGTTGATTCTGCTCCCTTGATATGTGCTGTACTTCAAGGTCCCAGTCATTCATCATTAACTTTTTTATTTGGGGGACAAAGTAAGCTCTCTGAGTTGTTGTCTTTTTTCTTCAACAAATCAATTGAGATTTTTAAATCGGATTCCAAAATCACCTTCTTGAAACTAAGATCCCAAGCGAATTTAAGTCCCTTGAAGTTGTCTATACATGCATAATGCATGTGTGTATTATTGTCGAGTGCAGACTTCATAAATAAATTTTATCCATTAATTATAATACAATAGTTCCCATAATTAATGTATGGTGTCATTTGTCATTTTGTGCGTGTATATATTCGGTTTAAAATATAAGCTAAACTTTATTTATTATATTTATCAAGAAATTAATTAAAATCAATTTAAACAATAAATGTGGAAGACATATATTTGTTTTTCCTAATATACCCTTATTAATAAAGAGAATAAGTAAAAGATATAATAAATAAATTAAAGAAGAAAAACAATATACGAGGATAAAATTGAAAAAAATTTATTAAATACTTAGATAAAAATAAATGTTATCTTATAAAAAAATTAACTTTTTAAAGAAAGTTTAGTTTACATTTTGAATCAAGGAATGTGCCTGTATATGCTTTGAGTATAATTTCGTGTGCATACATGTATTATGCTTTGATGTTTAATTTCCAAAGCACTCTTAAAGTGAAAATACTCATGACCGCCCTCCCGCGAGTAGCCCAGTCTTGCGCGATAACTATGGATGTCACTTGCAACGAACGGCACCGGAATATTCTCGCCGTCTTTACGGTCTGATTGAGAATTTGAGATAGCTTAAAGAGGCTTCTTTTCATTTGATTTTCAACGTCAGACCGGCCTTCTACGTGTCGCTCCATCTGCTACACGATTAGATCAATGGCTAGATTTGAATGAAGAGGAGAGGTTTGCAGAGGAGAGAAACCATTTGGCCTGGAACAGTGTTAGAAACGGGGAAGGCAATTCCGAGCTCAAGCTGACTCGCTAGGGTTTTAGACTTGAGAGATTCAATATTGTTTCTCTCATAGGGTGAAATTCAAATTTGGCAGTGAAAATGAATACTAGCGATTCTCAGAAGGACCCGAATGCTCTGGAGAATCGACCCGGGATCCTTGTGATTGGATCTTCCAATGTTGGCAAACGCACACTCTTATCCCGTTAGTTTCTCTCTTCTGTCTATATTCTGCCACCGCCATTCTAATAGCCTTCTCAGATATCGATAACCAAGTTTAGTTTTTTTCATGACAAACCAATAATTAAGCTCAGTTGCTTCTATATTTTGCGTGAAAGATTTTGCCACACTTTGGTTTGCATTAAATTTTTACTGTTGCCTTCTTAGAAGATTTAATTTAGAGCCGTGCCTGTCATCTAATTCATGAGATTAACTCATTGTCAATGTTCAATGATTGGATATGGCTTTTACTTGAATGACCCGTACAGAAGTGTGTTTTTTTATCTTCTGGATTTTAAACAAGATTTTGTACCAAGGCTGTGATGTTTATGTTAATCCTATGTTATTGACTCCACCATTCTTGGATTACAACTGTATTTGATTTTTTGTGGCGCAAATTGATTTGATGTACTCTGTTGACTTTAGGATTGCTCTCTACTGATTTTGAAGATGCTTCCGATTCTGCCTCTGATGTGTCTGTCCATGGGTATGTTGCTCGTGAATATTTTCTGTATCTCATTGCTTAACAATATCTCTTCAGAACTCCCTGAGTGTATGTTTTATGCAATTAACAGGTGGACTATCAATACCAAGTACTATACTGCTGATGTTTCTGTATGGATGACTCATCTTAGTGATGACTTTTCTGTTCGGAACCTGCCCATATCGCACCAATTGACTGCTTTGGTTATGGTTTTTGACATGAACGATGTTAGCATCCTTCTCTTGACACACTTTTTTTTTTGTTGGGTTTAATTTGTGTTCCTGTGTAGTTCTTGGGTAAAGAGTTATGTGATCCTTAATCATGTGTCAATTTGTTCTTGAACTATATTCTTGTTTTCCATGAAGATATATGGGCGTTAGCAATGAAAAAGTTGATGTAACACGTCTTTGATCTTCCTAAACAATGTGCAGTTATCTTCTCTAGCTGCACTCCAGGATTGGGTATCACGCACTGATATTCAAAACTTCGAGATATTATTATGTATTGGAAACAAAGTGGACCTGGTTCCAGGTCATCCAGTTCATGCTGAATACAGAAGACGACTACAGAAACTGAAAGACTCTGTTGTTGATCCTTGCTCTGAGTCCACGGAGTATGGAATATCTGACTCTGAAGGAACTAGTTTATTGGGGAATGAAGGTCCAACATGGGATTCCAGAAGATCTTGTTCAGAATGGTTCACTGAGCATGGCATTGAATTCATTGAGGCGTGCGCTTCCAATGCCGATTTTGACAAATGTAAAACTTGTTTGCCTTTCTGTTGTAATGATCTAGTCCGCTATCTAATATGACGTGGATTCCCCTCAATTTCAGAGATATGCTCAGTTTCTCATGTAGTCATATAGATGAGTTAGAATCATAATGCATGAAGATTGTCAGTTTCATACTGCAATTAGTTATTGAAGGATGACACATAATATCATTTTAGAACACCATCATGAACGATGGAAGATTATTTCCAAATCGTACTACATCAATACATGAATTGTGTCACTGAAATAAAATAAACAATTGTTGGCAGGCTTGTCTGTTGATGGTGATTCACAAGGAGTTGAACGGTTATTTGGTGCTCTTTCTGCTCATATGTGGCCTGGGATGATCTTCAAGTCTGGTGATAAAATAAGTGAACCATCAATACCTCAGAAAGGTTTTTCCTCTGTTAATTCTTCCCGTTTCTCGGAGGAGGCTACGTGCCACTGCCTTCTATATATTATATGTGCTTTACTATTTATGGTTTTTTCTTTCAGAGTCTTCTTCAGAAGAATCTGATTATGAATTGGAGTATGAAGTCCTATCTGATGGTTCAGCTGATCCTTGGGATGACACAGAACAAAGATGGGTTTCTGCTACTCCCGTAGATGCTGGAAAATCAGTTTCACAAAACAACCCCATCTCAGATTCTGAACTCAAAGATGGAACCAGGTCTGATAAACATTTACAACCATCAACTTCAAGCACTGTATTGCAGGATGAGGGTGACAAGGAAGTTGGGGATTCTGAAGAAGATGGGGTATCAGGCAAAGGTCTTGACTTAGAGGATTTGGAACAGCTAATGTCAGAGATAGGCAATATGCGTGCTGGCTTAAGACTGATGCCTGATTTCCAGAGAAGGGAAATGGCTGCAAAGTTGGCCTTGAAAATGGCTTCCGTGTTTGGGGGAGGTAGCGACGATGAAGATGAACTGTAGAGAATAAATTGTCTTCTGCTTATGAGATTCTGATAGATGTGTCTGATGAATGTCATTGTTTGGAATCTTATAAGCGCCATCTCTCTTACACAAAAATCCGAGGTTTTCTCATGCTCTTTGCGACTCATGGTTATATTTCCGGAACAGAACATTCCGTTCAAAATTGAATCTCTAGTCATGTTCATGGTGCCTTTCAGGGTTTTAATGCTGTGACATGCTCAGATAATTTATTATACAAAGTGCGAGCATTTACAGAGTGTTTTAAAGATCTGGTCTTGATTTTTTCTTCTCGGTCTGTAAAAATATAGATCAAATCCAAGTTGCACTTAGGGATGGACGAAAGTGACATATTTTCGTACCTGCACACTTTGTTTTTCCTGCTGGTCTTAGGTTTAGTGGGGTAAGAGATTGGAGCTGTTATTATCAGTTCAGGGGATAGTGGCGTGTGAGATACTGAGATATTTAAACCTGATAAGGTGTTTGGCAAAACAACAACGGGAAAAAAAAAAAAACAAAGAAAGAAACTGATAGAGCGGGTAAGGTAGTTTGTCCGAAATGAGTGCCCCGTGGTTCGCGGAGAAAATTACGTCCAAGGACCTAGAAAGTTAAGCTAAATATTTCCTTGGTGAAACTAGGAGTATTCTTCGCCAATGTGTCGGGCCTACTCAAGAAATAACAACAATTTGGTGTTGAAATAACGAGTATCCTTCTTAAAGAGTGTTCACATTAGAATTTTTAAGATCGCGAGATTTTAAATATAGTCCTCTTTTGGTAATACTAAAGAGAGAAATGACGTAAGCAGCATGGAAAGTGGGTATGGACTATAAAGTCGCTATTTTTTAAAGAGAATTATTATGAAATTCTGGATGAGAAGTATAATTATTTAAAAGTTTCAATAATAATAAAATAATCTATAATGATAAGTTTTAAAACAATAAATAAAAACTGCTCAAACTTATTACTACCTCTGGTTCTAATTATGAGAGTTAGTTGATTAATTTGAAGAGATTAAGAAAAGAAGTTAAGTTAGTTATTTGTAATAAATATATATTATTTTTCTTAAAATATCCTTATTAATCAAGTGTATTGGCTAAAATTATCATTAGAATTAATTTGAAAAAAATGTATAAATATAATAAACAAAATGGATTAAAGTCTTATATTTAGAATCAAAATAAAAATCAAATAAAATCTTATATATTAAAAACCGAAAGCAGTACTTTCTAAAGAATCAGTTTCTAAGAGAAAGGAACGAGAAGAGAAGAGGAGAGAATAATAAATGCAGGGAAAAGGTATGCAGAAAGAGAAGGAAAAGCAATGCGATGGAGTTTATCCCGATTTGAGTTGAAAACAATAAAGAGTGACCTCATCAAGCCATCATTGGGTTTGGATGTAACAGCTGAATTGACACTCACCGTCCTGTTTTAATCTCATCATGTTCCCACCTCATCTGGCAAAATTTATCGGCTGTTACTTTTCTACCTTTGTGTTCCCACTACAGCTAAACTACAGCACAATAAAAACAAAACCTGAATTTTTTTTTAAAAAAAAAATTATGTTTGATCTGTGCTCTCTTCAATCTATAGATATTTTAAGGAAAGAATGTAGGTGAAGTACTAGTTTAAAATTGTAAAGCCATCGTGTTCAGCGGAAAGAGCAGAGAGGGAGAAGCTTCGAGACTCTCAAATGGAGAACCCCAGCCGTCGTCCGGTTGACGACCTTCGCCTTTATTTGCCTTCGTCACCGTCGGAGTTCATAGTCACTGTCACTGTCTCCTCCACCGTTCAAGCGGAGAGAGCAGAGGGGGGGAAGCCTCGAGACTCTGAAATGGAGAGCCCCAACCGTCATCCGGTTTGCGTCGTTGACCTTCATATGTGTTTGCCATCGCCGGTGTTCAGAGTCCATGGCTCCTCCACCATTCAAGCGGAGAGAGCAGAGCGGGGGAAGCCTCGAGACTCTGAAATGGAGAGCCCCAACCGTCATCCGGTTCGCGTCGTTGACTTTCGTATGTGTTGGCCACCGCCGGTGTTCACAGTCCCTGTCTCCTCCACCATTCAAGCACATGACAATATATCAGGGATGCCTCCGGATGATGTTGTTGAAATCGCATATAATGTTTCGAGAGACTTGGAGATAAAAGATTGGAACAGTGTTGGAGCTCCTGGTCGCGATGAAGATGATCGCCCTTCGCAAAACATTTTAAATTTTGGGAATTTTATTTATAATGGGGGAAGTTTTGCAGGCAATAGCACCGGCAGTATCAACGGTAACAATAACCAGTAAGGTCGGCCTCAGAGCAACGTTAACCAGTGTGTAGAATGTGTTATTTTCACCAATAAGACGGAGGATAACTTGGATCTCCCTTCTTAATCCCGATAATTTTGGGTTATTAGTTAATCTCCCAAATGAGGGATTTAGTTACCCCTAAGAGGGTTATTGTATCTCATTGATATTAATGACATTTCATTTTCTTTATTCTCGTTTCTTTACAAAACATAATAGATGAACAATCATATCTAGGTTTCTTATTCACCTCTCTCTCTCTAAGCACTTTTCTTCTATCATGTACCTATTATATTCTTTACGGAGGTCAGACTTCACAATGTATAAAGCCTCAAGGAAAGTGTTGTGTCATTTGTACTACAAGGTTAGACTCTCCAAAATTGTGTGCACGTGGACATAGATGAACCAATTTTATGTGACATTTTCAAATTAATATACAAGTAGGCTTTAATGTGGAAGAAATTCTGCGCAAGTATATTCGCTATGCTCTGAATGAGAAACCATTTAACCCTGATGTGGTAGCTGATTTAATTCAGCTGAGGAGAGCTTCTATGTTAAATGACTCCCAAGTTGCGGAGATTCTGAATGAAATCTCACGACGAATTGTGCGAGACAAAGGTAAGTTACTCCTCATATAGCATAGGTCAGTGGAGTAGTTTTGGGTTAACCTCAGGTCCTGCTATAAATATTATGATGTAGGGAACAAAATTTGTACATGGATTTTATTATGTCTAATGAGTTTTGGCTGCAGGGAGTGCTACTCATATAAGAATGTCATTCTAAATGAATGTTGGTTTCCATCCAGGAAATTTGCACTAAAACAGTGGTGGTTCATTAGAGTAATCTTAGGTCATGTTTGGTATGAGGTATTAAAGTTTAAGGGATTGGGAATGGAGTTGGGAATGGGAATGGGCATGGGATTGGAGTTGGTATTGAGTTTTAAAATTATGTTTGGTATGGGATGGGATTAAGAAAAAATAGGTAAGACCCAACTCAAATGAAAATTAGGAAAAAGACATAACTGCCCTGGTCTTCTTCCGTTCCTTGACCTTCCAAAAATCCATCCCCGCTGGGTGGCTGAGTACCCATCAATAGAATGAATCAGGAAAATATGGGGGGGAAAAGGCAAAGCAGAAATTAAAATCAGAAACATAAACCGTAAAATTGAAATCTAAGCACCCAATGCAGAATCGTCAATGGCGTCAGACCTGGAAGGCTCGTAGGCTTCAATTTTTTTAATTCATTTGAAGTACAAGGTATGGGTTTTAATTCATTTGAATCAAAGGTCTTGTCTGCTTCATTTACCAAAAGGGTTTGCCATTTTGGACGCAATCTTATTTTAACCACTAGGTTTTTGTTATTGCAATGGAAATCAAAGATCGAAATGCTCTCAGACACAGGAAATGGAGAAGACGAACTGGAGATCAAAGATCGAAGCTCAGATTGAGGGGAGAAGGATGAAGATTGATTAGTAGTTTGTATGTGAATAATGTTTTGCTAATGTTGGGAGACTCGGCAATTTGAAAATATAAATCAATTTTAAGGGAGTAGACCTTATATGAATGGTTTGGAAGTTTGTGTTTGGATAGTGATCTCTAGAAGATGTCATTACAATTAAAGGTGTGTTGTAGCTGACCTTAAATCATAATTTTGAGAAGTAGCAACTTGAAAGCCATAGAGCGATGATGAGATAGAATTGATCCTTCTTTCATTACCTGTCTTCCATCATACCCAACTACTGCTTATTGTGAATGAATCCAATATTTTTACCCATTGTAATTAAATGAAAATGTCTTAAGATTTTGGATTCACGATTTATTGTTATTTCATTCTCTCTGACTTCTATTACATTGTATTTTAATGTTTTTAGGCCCTGTAGTCATGGATGCATCAGGCTATACAGAGAAGAGTTTCAAGAGAAAACTTGCTGTTCAGGCTCTTTTTGGAAAAGTCTTCTATTTATCTGAGGTGTGTGGCTGGACAGTCAGTATAAATTAACATTCTTCCTTTGATGCAAAATATGAAATTTGTTGAAGAACAACTAATTTCGTTAATTTATGGCATCATAGCATTCCCTTTCATCATGGCGGTGCTCATCCTTCTGTACTGCTCCGTACTGGACGTTTTTCTTTATCTTCTGGTACTTGGATACAGCGTCAGGAGCGTGCTTTAAAGAGAATTTCGGGCCTCAACTATGGCTACTATGCTGGCCATTGTGAGCTAATCTTTGTTTTGAAGTCACATTTCTCTTGACTGATAACTATCTTTTGGCAGAGGATTATAGCAGCACCTATACTGTCGTTTTAGTAATTATGCATGAAGATGGTCAGTTTCATACTGCAATTTGTTATTGAAGGATGACACATAATATCATTTTAGAACACCATCATGAACGATGGAAGATTATTTCCAACTCGTACTACATCAATACATGAATTGTGTCACTGAAATAAAATAAACAATTGTTGGCAGCCTTGTCTGTTGATGGTGATTCACAAGGAGTTGAACGGTTATTTGGTGCTCTTTCTGCTCATATGTGGCCTGGGATGATCTTAAAGTCTGGTGATAAAATAAGTGAACCATCAATACCTCAGAAAGGTTTTTCCTCTGTTAATTCTTCCCGTTTCTCGGAGGAGGCTACGTGCCACTGCCTGCTATATATTATATGTGCTTTACTATTTATGGCTTTTTCTTTCAGAGTCTTCTTCAGAAGAATCTGATTATGAATTGGAGTATGAAGTCCTATCTGATGGTTCAGCTGATCCTCGGGATGACACACAACAAAGATGGGTTTCTGCTACTCCCTTAGATGCTGGAAAATCAGTTTCACAAAACAACCCCATCTCAGATTCTGAACTCAAAGATGGAACCAAGTCTGATAAAAATTTACAACCATCAACTTCAAGCACTGTATTGCAGGATGAGGGTGACAAGGAAGTTGGGGATTCTGAAGAAGATGGGGTATCAGGCAAAGGTCTTGACTTGGAGGATTTGGAACAGCTAATGTCAGAGATAGGCAATATGCGTGCTGGCTTAAGATTGATGCCTGATTTCCAGAGAAGGGAAATGGCTGCAAAGTTGACCTTGAAAATGGCTTCCGTGTTTGGGGGAGGTAGGACGATGAAGATGAACTATAGAGAATAAATTGTCCTGTGCTTATGAGATTCTGATGAATGTCATTGTTTGGAATCTTATAAGCGCCATCTCTCTTACACAAAAATCCGAGGTTTTCTCATGCTCCTTGCGACTCATGGTTATTTTTCCGGAACACACATTCCGTTCAAAATGGAATCTCTAGTCACGCTCACGGTGCCTTTTCAGGGTTTTAATGCTGTGACATGCTCAGATAATTTATTATACAAAGTGCAAGCACTGTACAGGGTGTCTTAAATATCTGGTCTGGTGCAGAGTGTTTTAAATATCTGGTCGTGATTTTTTTTTCTCGGTCTGTAAAAATATCTCGTAGTGTCAGTTATGCGCTTTTTAGATAAGATCAAATCCAAGTTGCACTTAGGGATGGGCGAAAGTGACATATTTTCGTATCTGCACACTTTGTTTTTCCTGATTTGCAGGTCTCAGGTTTAGTGGGGTAAGAGATTGGAGCTGTTATTATCAGTTCAGGGGATGGTGGCGGGTGAGATACTGAGATATTTAAACCTGATAAGGTGTTTGGCCAAAAAACAAAAAGAAAAAACTGTTTGAGCGGGTAAGACAGTTTGTCTGAAATGAGTGCCCCGTGGTTCGGAGAAAATTACGTCCAAAGACCTAGAAAGTTAAGCTAAAGATTCTTTGGTGAAGCTAGGAGTATTCTTCGCCAATATGTCGTCCCTACTCGAGAACTAACGACAATTTGGTGTTTGAAATAACTAAGACTCCTTCTTAAGGAGAGTTTACATTAGAATTTTTAAGACCTCGAGATTTTAAATATAAATAATTTTGTCCTCTTTTGGTAATACTAAAGAGAGAAAGGATGTAAACAGCATGGAAAGTGAGTATGGAGTATGAAGTCACTATTTTTTAAAGAGAATTATTATGAAATTCTAAGTAAGAAATATAATTATGTAAAAGTTTCAATAATGATAGAGTAAATGGTAATTGCTCAAATTTATGACTTCCTAAAAAATCAGTTTCTAAAGAAAGAGGAGAGAAGGGAAAAGGGATGATGATGAATGCAGGGAAAAAGTAGGCAGGAGGGGAAGCAATGTGATGGGGTTTATCCCGTCTTGGGTTGGAAACAATGAAGAGTGGCCTCATCAAGCGATCATTGGGTTGGATGTAACAGCTGAACTGACACTCATTTTCCTTCCTTAATCTCATCATGCTCCCACCTCATCTGGAAAAACTTGTCGACTGTTACTTTTCTACTTTCGTGTTCCCACTACAGCTAAACTATAGCAAAATTAAAACGAAACCTGAATTTTGAAAAAAACTTATATTTGATCTGTGCTCTCTTCAATCTGTAGATATTTTAAGGAAAGGCTGGTTAAAAAAAAAAGATATTTAAGGAAAGAGTCTAGTTGAAGTACTAGTTTAAAATTGTAAAAATTAAATTAAAATGCTGGTTTTGATCTTTCTATTTCGCTTTCCATTATTACAAAGAGGACAAGAGAGGACAACCTAGGAAGGACAATGATGTGGAGTCCCTCACACTTCATCCCCACCAAAAAAGCAAAAGGAAGAAGTAATTAAAGCAGATGCATTCAATTATCAGCTTTCTACTGGCATCACTAGCCCAATTGCTCATGCTTTCACCTTCTCTCTCTCTTCTCCTTCTTTTTCCCTTAACTTTCTAGGATGAATCATTTGAATTAAGTGCGGATAAGCTAAATTTAATATATTATCAGATGTTTAAAGTAAAATACATGAGTAATTCTAAACTGTGCATTTTTAAAGTTATACAAATCCCAGTTGCAATCCCTGTTACAGATATTTTCTTTGGAAAGGAAGCAGAGATAGGATCGATGCAATAGGGGGCCGCAGAGCCTAAATCGCATCTCTGCCTTCGCCATTACTTCAAATTTATATAAAATAAGAAAAATGAATAATGCTATTTATAATATACAAATATAATGTGTTGTGCTATGATACTTTTTCCCCATTCTTCACTTCGGGGGGTGTTTGGGTGATAATGATTTGAGAAAAAATCACCCAAACACTCTTAAAAAAACCAAAACCATAGTTTTGAGAAAAGTAAAAAAATTTTGTTTTTGGAAAAAAAAAAGAGAGTATGAGAGCCTATAGGATATATATCTTGTTGTTTTTTTTTTATAAACATATTTTTTTATAAATATATTTAATCTTATATCTTATAAATATTATACATATATTATTTATTAATTATATTATCTTATATATTATTATTATTTAATAAAAAATAATTAACAATTTTATTCTTTCAATTAAAATATATCATAAAATTTTTTTCTGTAATTATTATATTAACTTATGCCTTTTTAGTAATTTGTACATGTAAAAAGTGTTTCTGGTAACAACTATCCAAATACTCTCATTTCTCATAATCACTTTTTCACAAAATCTATTTTTCAAAAAATCTATTTTTTTCAAAATCTATTCTCCAGAAGCTATTCTCCAAACTATGATTTGGTTATATCCAAACACCCTTTGATCGCACTCACAAAGGCTTATACACACTGCCTCATGTTTAATCAAAGCTTAAAAAGTACTAGGTGGCCCCCACACTATGCTATAATTTTATATTAGATAGTACTTAAATCAAGTTTTTTGTATTTATTATAATTAGAACACATAGTCTGAAAAAGATGATATAATTAATATAAACAATTTGATGACCATTTTTTTTCCCAATTCACTCTTTGCTATTGGTTCAGTAATTTAACAAAAAAAAAAAAGTAAAAGAAGAGGGACGGGTGCCACCTATAACTGCTGAGCATTGAATAATAATAAAAACAATGCTCTTTAGTGATCTTTCTTGGTAATATCATTAATATGATTCCCAAATACATGTGTCCATAATTAATCACTTGATGGAATTGGGACATTCCACATAACGTGCATATTCCTCTTTTGAGGTGCAAAATGCAAATATGTGGAATGTAACAAAACCATGAAGCGATTAATTATGTACACATATATCTATTTGGGAATCATATTAATCATTTTATTAGAAAAGGATCAAGATCAACACATGGAATCTTTTAATTTCCCACACTTTTAAGAAGTCTGTACAGACGAAAGCTATTGTACAAATCAGGTTTCAGGGAGTTCATAAAAATAAAAAAAAAGCTTTAAGGATAGAAAATTATTTATATATAACTTAAAATCTAAGATAATTTTATACGGTTTAATTAATAACTTATAAAAAAATTACAATATTAAGAAATTTTACAGTAAGTGAACATCGTATAATTTTTTTAATAATTACATTACTTTTATATTACTTAAATTGTACGGCTTACGTCAGATTTCATAGGAAGTACTGAATTACGAGACCCGTAGTCTATTCAATTTCAATACGCACCGTTTAAACGCCCTTTTTCCCTTCCTCTAGAAGAGTAATCACGCGCGTGGGTCTATTTACGCGCCCAGCCAAGGGCACGTGACGTTCTCTTAAGATGTATGGCGGCCCTAATTAGCGAACGGTGGAGATTGTGAGGTAACAAGTGAGTAGGATGAGGCCACGTTTCACTTCTTCAAAATTCATTTGATGCCCTCTTGAATTTAGCTTCATCTGTTATTACGTGGAATCGAACGAATAATCCAGATCTTTGACTCGCGAATGGTGCTCCTTATCACTGAGTTATATATCTTATATAGCCGTCCAAATCATTGAGTGCTCCTCTACCCTGCTTTACTCCTTCATTTAAAATATAATACAATGTAAAATTTACAACAACTCATACTATGTATAAAAACTAATTTAATATTCAATTTATCTTAAATATGAAATTTTAATATATTTTATCTCTTATATTTATTTATTTTTTAAAATAATTCTCGTAATAGTTGTATATGCCAGATGTTTAATCAAATGTTATATTTTAGATAATATATAAAATCAGTAAGAATATTTTAAGAAAGACAAAACTTGATTATTATAAATAACTAACTAAATTAATTTTCTTATTTTAGTTGAATTAGTCAATTAGTTTTTATGTTAACAACTGAAGGTGTTATTATTTACATGGCAATGATAAGTTACCCCAATGTCAACACTTTCTGTATGCTGGGAGAAGTTCTAAATTTGAATCTGGTGTTAAGATGTTTTTGTGTGCATGTGTGTAGAGCATATAAATTTATGAGGCAAAAAAAAGCAAATTTGAAATGAATTTATTTGGTAAAAATATTTCAAAAGAAGGAGCAAAAATAAGCACGAGGTTTTATCAGAAAAAAATATATAAGCACGAGCTAGAAATGTGAATCCAATCTCCACTTTCCACTCCTTGGACACAAAAGGAAGAAAAAATAAAATAAAGGAGAGGAACAAAATGAGGGGGGAAAAACCATTGACGAAAACAAAAATATTACTCCCCCGCTGCGCTCGTGTATATAAAAGAATTCAGGAAGTCTCCTCCTAATACCAAATATATCTTATTGATTAAAAAGTTTTTTTATACACTTCATTAAATTGAATTTATTAAACATACTTTGTAACTTATATCTATGAAAAATAAATACTTTTAATTAATTTATGAATTAGTTATTTATTTCTTACATACAAATGCAAAAAGAAAAAGAAAAATGAAAACTCCTACATGGGGGAAAAAGGAGAGGGAAGTTTAGTTTAACGGATGCGGTTGGATCTCAGGTTTAAAAAAAAAAAAAAAAAAGATTTGGTTGGATTAGTTGGCTTACACGCAAACCCATGTTTCTCCCTCCCCTTTGTCCACCTCCTCTCTCTTACCATTGTTCTTCCCCCTTTAATGCTCAACCCATCACTTATCGACACCTCAATGCCTCCTTTTCCATTTATTTATAAATATAATTAAACCATCATGCTTAATTACACTACATCCGGCTTCAAAATTGTCTTTGGTAAGCACATATATTTTTATTGGAGGCAATCTAATCAGTCTTATTTGAGATATTATCAGGTATTAAATATAAATACCTCTCTAAAAAAAGATTCAAACACTGGTTTGTCACCTTATGATAGAGTGATTACTTTTGCTAAGCCTAATTCATTAATTAATTCAGAATTCATATTTTATTTCTTTTCAGACTTCTTTGTAAGGCGTGTGGAAATGACAAATGAGGATGTGTCCATGGGATAAAAAATAATATAAAATATTTTTATTTCACTTATAAATGATAAGTTACTACGTCTATCTGATTCTTAACATAAGAACTAGTTTAACATTCAATTTAGTTCTAAATATAAAACACCAATTTAATATGTCTCTTATATTTATCTATGTTTTTAGTATAGTTTTCGTAATAATTGTACATATTAAAAATTTTATCACATGATAGTTTTTGCTAATAAAAGTATTTTAAGAAAGACAACACCTATTTATTACAAATAACTAACTTGATTAGTTTTCTTAATCTATTCAAATTAACTAATCAGTTCTTAGATTAAATATTGAGGGAAAATAGTATAATTGGTATTATTTAAAATGATTGCTCATCCTTTTCCGGCCGAAATAAAATTGTTCATCTTTTTTTATAGTCACACTAGCTTGATCTTTGAGAACATTTTTAGGTCGTACATATTTTAAGAAGCACTAATGATAAATTTAAAACCACCACAAATGGACTAACCTTCACGATTGATTATCATTTAACTTTTCAGGGCCCCTTTTTTTAAAAAATATGTTACTATATTAAGGTCAACCTAACATTTTTCCCCCCCAAAATCTTTTATATTTTAGCCTATCTAAACTAATTAACCAAAGATCTTACTGGCCCAACAAAAGAAAGCTAACTGGACAAACCGTTCCTTCGGCATTTCGAACGCCGATGCGCCGATGCACCAGTCTCTTAAAATTAAATTATATACACTACTCGCCTTAAAAAATACCATATGGTACAGAGTCCATGAATAGAAAATTGTAATTTTTTTGTCCTTATTTGATTTACATGGATCATACTCCAATCATTTAAAACGTATGAGACAGTACATAATTTGGAAGATTACCAATTTGAAACATGAAAATTTGAAGGAAAAAAAAATCCAAATATCATCCCCCTAATTAGTCAAATCTAAGAAAGAAAAATTCTAGGATTACATTAAGAAAAAAAATACCAGTTTCTTTTTTTCAATTTATGGAAGGAATCCAACATTATCTCTGGGCCGTTGGTGGTGGCTAGTCGAGCTATTAGCATAATCATTATTAGCTGTAGTGGCATTATCATCATGTCTGGACTTGAGCTCTGGTTCACTACCGCTAGTTCCGGTAGCTTCACCGCCGCGAACCGCCGGGTAAAGGCCGCACCTACGGCACCTCGGAGGCAGAACAAGAATCTGCCGACACGAGGGGCACGAAGAGTGGGACCCAAGCCAGGTGTCTATGCACGCCGCGTGGAAGCCGTGGCCACACTGCGGAAGAACTCGGATCTCGTCAGCTCCGACGAATTCGGCCAAGCAAATCGCGCACTCCGACGCGGCCAACCACTTCTCAAATTGCTGTCAATGTAAGTGAATTTCGGCATGGATTGGAGCACCTTCTTCTTGAGACCTTTGTTGGCCAGAGACTGTCCCGGAGCTCCACCGCCGGCTCCGGATCCACCGCGACGGAACCAGGTGCATCGGCAGACAGCTATGAGGGCCACGGTGCATATGAGAGCGCAGAGCAGAGACGCGAGGATGACCACGAAGTCTGATTCCAAAGCGACGGCCTCCGGAGGCGGCGCTGCTGCGGTGATGGTGCAGCGGCGGCGACGGAGGTGGAGTTCTCAGTGGATTTGAGAATACGAGTCATGGGAAGGGCGTGAAAGGGTAAAGTGGCAATTGCGAGGTGGCTGTAAGAAGGACACAAGGGAGAGAGAAGTGGGTATTTATAATTGGGGATAAGAGACGATAGTGGCATAGAGGATGATTACCTCTCGTCCTCAAGTAAACAAAATGCTTGACTTATAAACCCCACAGCCACTCAACGGCCAACGTCTGGTTTCAGTGCAACTACACTGCTAATTCCTCTTCCCACTTTTGACTTGTCTGCCTTCTTAATACTTATTCGCGCACATCGTTACTTTTTTTTTAATATTACCTTCTCTTTTAATTATAAAAACTAATTGACTAATTTAAAAATTAAAAAAAATAATAAATTAGTTATTTAATAAATACGTGTTTTTTTTCAAAAAATATCCTTGTTAATCAAGGTGTTGATAAGAACTATCATTATTAGAAGACAATTTGGGAAAAAAATACATAAATATTAGAAACAAAGTGGATTGAGGTTTTATATTTATGACCAAAATAAAAGTCAAATGAGATCTTATATTAAGGACCGAAAGTAGTATTTTATATTTTAAATTTTTAAAACAATATAATTTGTTTATAATTTTTTATTTGAATTTGACTAATATTTAGTTTTTTATTTTTTTATTATTTCATTTCTTTCTTGACGCATTTCTTACTTACAATTTTTTTTAATCTTTTTTCTTATTTATTATAAAGGCATATTTAAAAATAAATTTACTTCTAATATATTTACTATTATTTTAAACTAATTTTAACTAATTATTTGCTATCTATGAATTAGTTTTTTAAACTTATAATAAGGATAGGAAGAGTATAACCATTAATTTGTGGAAAATTTTTGTTCTTCAATATAAATTATTTATTAATTTTTGGGAAAGAGAACAAGGGAAAGAATTGCGAGAATGATTTATAAATATAGGAGAGAAAAACTTTAGCGTGAATATTTAAAAATTTTTATCAGTTCAACATATCACTTACTACTTAGTATGTGAACATACCTTTTTACAAGACACTTTGAAAAAGCCATAAATAATTCTTATGAAACTTATCGAGATATTAATCAAGTTTTTCTTAAATATTACTCTTATTTTTATTAAGTAAGGGAGAGAATCATAATGGCAAATATAATTTTTTTATTTGATCTTAGTAAAATTAGAAAATTCATTATATTTTCAAACAAAGTTAATAGTTTAGTCAACCCTCCTCCGATTCAATGAAACTTTACAATAGTTTTTTTTTTTTTTGGGGGGCCAGAGGTTTATATTAGGATCACGGGAAGTGAGTTAGCTATGATTTTTTTAAAACTGTCCAATCTTTTATATTCGTCCTTATTTACTAGTGTCTCATTTAGAATATAGTATTAATTACACCCTAATTTTGAACATCTTTAAAAAGTGTTCTTAATTATCTCTTAAAAGAACGAAAATACCTTATATTTTTCTAACACGATACTTAGCAAAAAAATGCCGCATAATTTAAAAAGAGAGAGTGTTGCCCCTAAGACTCAAAGGCGTATTTTTATAATTAAATTATTTTTGGCAGGAAATGGTGTTATTTTGAAGGAACGAAAGGTCAAAATACACTGGCCTCTAATTAGCAGAGGTTGAAGTGGATAAAAATTTTCCGACGTGGTGTGGATATTTGATTTTGGTTTTTAGTTACTACATTTAATCAATTAATACATCAATCAATTGTAAAGCAGTACTCTGATTTCAGATCACATGTTTTGGCCTGTTAATGGGCAAAATGACAAAACTAAAATAAAGGCAATCTATAAAAACTATATTGACCCTATAATTTATTATTCTTTTGGCTGTTTTTTAAAAATACATATATTAAATAAAAATAAAATTATTAGTAATTAAATTGTAAGATAGAGTTAGTGAAGTTTATTAAGGTTCTCTCAATTCTGATAAATGAGTTAAAAATGTCTTGTAAATAGGATGAGCCAAGTATTTAAAACTAAAATAAGCTGACACTGATTTTAATATTTAATTTCTGAGATGCGTGTCTGTCTATAACCAAAAATGGAAAAAAAAAAAATTCCAAGGATATGCATACAAGTGGAAAACTTTCCTAGATTACTGAATGATATATGACTGATAATACTAGCCATGCGATTGATGTTTGGATTCTGCAGTTTCTGGCATATGTTGGTCATCTTCATGCTCCACTCTCACACTAAAACTGGTTTTGAATGATATAGGCGAAGTAGAGAGAGGGTCTGATTCAATATCTGAGTTATCTTCTTGTTGTTGGCTCTCATAGGGGGAGTGGCCAGTTGTTTTGAAACGACGTAGTTTGGTTGCAGAAGAGGGCAGTGATCCTGATGAAGCATTGGATTGGTTGTTACTAGGAGACTTGTTTCCTGCCTGCTTCTTTTCACAGCCATTCGCCAGTTCTTTAACGCCTTTGATGTTTGCTCATCAAATATGGACGTCTTCATCGTTGATCCCATCTGCAAAAACGCAGCGTTTCCCATTATATATTTAATTAATTAACAAAAATGATCATCTCAATAATTATTTAAATAATTAATAAATGGAAGATATGTACGTACCTGGGTTACAAAGCGTATAATGGAAGTGTAATGTAGCTGCAGAGACAGAGAACTGCAGTCCTGCAAAAATCCATTCAGAATAGGTTGTTAGAAGTTGGTCTCCCATCCCAACTTACACCAAAACCAATGTTGAGGTGTTCGCGCCTTGTAGCCCAACTAACACCAACTATCTTCTTCAAGATTTTTTTAAACATAAGATTGTGAGTTCGAATCTTTGATAGGGGTATGATATATATGTGAGTAATTGTTTAAAAAAAAGAAAGAAACAAGATTTGGACATGGTTTCATGATTAAAATCTATTTTGAGTTTTTTTTTTTATTGTTTGGCTAGCATGTGGTTGATACCTTAATTTAGACCAGAAAGTGATTTTAGAAAGCTCTCCCAACAGTCTAGTGTTTGTGTATGGCTATGGCAAGTCCACAACAGTTTAGTTAATTCTGGGTGGAGTCAGCTACCCTTTCTCTATCTCACTAGTCACTCTAGTCTCTATGTATGATATAGGATATTTTTTTTTTTTTTAAGAAGCCATGCTTTTAATAAATAATCAACAATATAATTCATCTTAAGCTGGTCAAAAATAAAAAATCATCTTAAATTCCACGCAAACATAATGTCACAATCTATTCATTAAGAGCATTTAAATCCTATTTAAGGGGTCACATCATTGCTGAGAAAGGCTTACCCTAATGCGACTTTCACAATGGCAAGCTTGTAGTCCATATGGAAACAATTTTTTAGCCCAAAAGAATACTGCAAATACAGGGGCATTACCGTAATTTTAGGAAGGCAGCACAAAGACATGTGAATTAGTTATTCAATAATAAGTGAAGGAAGAAAATAGCTCATTACCCATATCCACAAGAAATAAGTTATTTGAAAAGCATTCTGCAGAATAAGAAAATCTGTGAGTTTCCACCTTAATCACCAGAGAAAAGCTAGAAGGCTAAGAAGAAAGAGTTAAAGACCTGGAAGAGAGCGAAATGGATAAGATGAAGAACTAACTGAGGGCGACCAAACCAGAAGTATTTGTCTGAGCCTTGAACAAGAGGAATTCCTTGTACAACCGCATGTTTTTCTGTGATTTCTAGAGCCATTTTTGCCAGAATTGCTTGAAGTTTTGTTCCAACCGCCATTATTATCTGCCATCAAATTTTACCTCTTTTTACTTCAACAAATCAACCACTCATTATTATTCTTCTTTTCAAGACTAATTAATTGCTACTTACAGCCAAAGGAAGTATGGATGCCCAAACCATTGTGTGCCATCCTGCATATTACATTCAACAACCCAACCATCATACATTAGTTGTCATTTCAAACAGACTTACCAAGAAAACACAATTTTATCCTTGTTTATCTCGAAGTTGGTCTGCTGACTGGATCCATCTGTTATTACTATATATATGGGTTGAGCCACTAGTTCAATGGCTTCACTCTTACTCTCTTAAAATAGGAGATTGTGAGTTTGATCTCGTCCGGTGCATGTGTTGGAATCAAGTCATCAGACCAAATTTTGGAGAAAAGAGGGCAATACAGTGTTTTTGAACAAGAGAATCTCTTATCCTAAATAAGTAGTTCGCTTACCGTCAACATTTAGCAACAAGAAACCACAAATGATGCCCACAGGACAGGACTGTCAAAAACACAGAGAAATATGGCAATTAAACAGAGAAAGCATTCGATTTTTCAAAGGAAAAAAATGCATATTGGGAAGAACCAAACATGCATAACTAAATACTGCAAATTACCTTACTCCCACAACTACCTTGAAGTCATCTTCTAAGGATCTTTTATATACTTTTGGAGTTGAATTGACTGCCAGGAGCAAGATGGACCTATACATAATAATAGTACATCATTGGATTGTCAAAAATTGTAGCTAGTTCATCTAACTTGGAAAGAATTTGTTCTCTGGATTAAAACACTCACAGTGATAAATCCATTGCGCAAAGCCAAGTAATCAGCCTTACCAAC